GGCGTTTTAAATCAATCGAGCGATTAGTTTTGGAGTCAATGTTGACTGAAGAAAGAGCTAGTCAAACATTAACTTAAACCCAGCAACAACCCTTTTCTTATACTTCACATAAATTTAGTACAAAATACATAAACTGACTGTATCTTGTACCCATGATTAAATGTCCTATAATATTATAAAAGTTCACAAAAATGACCAAATAAAACAAGATGAACTTATTATATTGAAATATATTTACGGTCTTCATAAAACTAATCAGTCATTTTGTTCTTCGTCTCACACCTTGTCAATAATTTAAATATCATTCTAATATTCGTCTCCATAATCAATTTTTTTTTCCAAATACATCTATGGGCTACAAAAACCCAACAATGTAAATGTAAACTTTTTGATATCTGACTGTAAAGCAGAACAAGATTTTTCCTTTAGGAAAAACAAAAACGTTCTAAAAGGGAAGATTCCTTTGCAGTTAAGCACAAAGCTAAATATGGGCTATCTGTGCCCACCACGAGTATCAAAACCCTGCCACTGGGGGGGGGGGGGCGAAAATTGAAGGATCCTAGTGGGTAAAATAACTTTATTGAAATTATTAAATTAAAAGTAATTTCTGATTCTGAGATGTTTCCAACTATAATGTAATATTCACGATTTATCAAACAAATGTTTGCATTATAACTTTATTAAATTCAATAGTTTTAAATATTACTGATAAATCATGACCTTTATAAAGGGGCCCGGCATGGTCAGGTGGTTAGTGCGTTCGACTCACAATCTGGGAGTTCGAATCCCCGTCACACCAAACATGCTCGCCCTTTCAGCCGTGGGGGCGTTATAATGCGACGATCAATCCCACTATTCGTTGGAAAAGAGTAGCCTTAGAGTTGGCGGTGGATGGTGATGACTAGCTGCCTTCCCTTTAGTCTTACACTGCTATATTAGGGATGGCTCGCGCGGATAGCCCTCGTGTAGCTTTGCGCGAAATTCAAAATAAACAAACAAACAAAATTTATGAAGGTTAACCCCGATCGGACTTTGAAACCACATCTATTTTAACCTCAGGGAGTTAATATTACATAAAAGTTAACTATTTTCTATTAGCATATTAAAATACACA